TATGGGAGATTTTCTTTCCAAAATTGCTTGGCAGGACTTTCCAGAAAGGTCTGGTCATTTTTGTTGATTCAAGAGGCAGGGGTTTCATGTTTAGGCCACTGCTTGAGGGGAGGGATGGTATGTGCTTGCTGCACGGATCTGGCTGGTAGAAGCAGCTGTGCCAGGAGCTCCATGGCCTGGCATGCGCAGGGCACGTCCTGAACGTTGCCACTGCCAAGTGCGCGTTTGCTGGGGAGCACAGGGTGGTAATTAGAAGGTGGAGCTCAGCCCGGGAGCCAAGATGCGTCTGAGCTAATCACACAGCGCTCTGGGCCTGTTTGTCTTTGGTAACTGGGCTGCAGCCGCCCGTGCGTGTGCTGGGGAGGCTGAGGGAGGGAGGGAACTTATTTGATCTGCAGGTGAAAGGAGGCTTTATAAATAGGTCACCTTGTTTCACATCCTGAAGTTCATTCTTTCCCCGTCTTGGGTCCAAACAATGGCTCTTCTGTTCTGGGGGCAGTCAGACGCGCTGAGGGGGAACTGGGCCTAAGGGAGAGGGTGTACCTCTGCCACTCAGCAGTGGCCTCCCTTCCTGGTGTCTTCCGTCTGTCTCCAGGCAGCACCTTGGATGTGAACCAGCTGACCCGGAAGCATTGTGGCGGAGAGGGAGAGCCTGTGGGTTATGGCTTTTGCTGGCGGACATCAGCAGGTACTCTGTGGCCACCCGGAGCTCTGCTGAATGTCCTCCTGCTCTTTCTGAGGTCCTCGCGGTGTCGCCACCTGCCCCCCCCCCCCGGCAGCCTCACCAGGCCCTTGCCAGGTGCTCAGCCTCAGGCCACCTGCACACGTACGTTTGGGACGAAGCAGCCCTTGTCTGTGGGAAGACACCTTTCTGGGGAGGTGGAGAACAGTGATGGACAGCATTGTATTTGGGTATCTTGGGAGAAGCGCTGTGTAAATACTGTCTCTCCTTGGGGTGGCCTCCCTAAGCCCTCTCCGCCGCCCGTGTTGGCCATCGTCCTTCGGCCACCCTTCCAGCGACTGTGGCGTCAGGTGCCTCTTTGTGGTGAGCGTCTGGGGAGAGAAGGCTTGCTTGTCACTTTCCTGGGCTCACTTTATAGGAAGCCACACACGGGGAACGTTTAGAAAATGCTTTGTGTGAGTGTAGTGTGTTAAGTCAACCTTGGGTTCTGAGCTGTGCTCTTAAAAGCTCATTTTCCGGAGCAAAAGTCTTGGCCTAGCGGTTAGGATGTGGTTGTCCAGAATGCCTTCATCCAATGTAGCTAGATCTCATCCCCAGATCTAGCTCCCGACCCTAGCATCCTGCCGAGACAGAGTCCGGGGATGGGGGCGGGGCAGCAGTCATGGTTTGAGGGAGACCTGGTTGCATTCCTGGCTCCTGGGTCCGGCCCTGGCCACTGGAGACATGAAGATGTGCCTGGAGCTCTTTCTGTCTGTCTTCCTGCCTCTCAAATAGAACCTTCTTTAAAATAAACCCTTTTGGTTACCAAAGTAAAAATGCACTTTGTAGAAATTTTTAAAATTGAACATATGTTCCTACTACCCCGGATGACTGTTGTAAGAGGCCGGGGGTTTGCTCATTTAGACCTTTCTTTGTCTCATACATGCTGCGTCCAGCACGTGCCTCTTTGCCACCCGCTACATGGGGTGCCTTTTGTGTTGAGTCAGCAGGCCCCAAGGACTGCCCCCTTCTCTCCCAGGGTTAGGGAGTCGCCCTACGTTGTGCCGGCTCATCAGGCTTGTAAGCAGAAAAGCCATCTGGTTAGGGACTGTCCCGTTGCACCTGCCAGCAGAAGCTCGTCCCCGTTTGGGTCTGTCTCTCTGGGACACACCCCCACGCCTGGCGCAGCGACCTTTCCCCTACATCCTCTCTGGCCCGCGGAGCACCACTTCCCATGAGAGCAGGCGTGGGCTGCCCCAGGCCCCGCCTCTCTCTGGCACGTCCTGCGGGGCCCTTGTGCCTGCGCTGTGGCCCCTGCCCCTTGCAAGCGAGACACAGCCTTAGATCCTTGGAGGCCTGGGGCACAGAGGGGTGCACTCTGCCCATCTCCACCACAGCACACTTGGGGTGAGGCTCCTGACTTTCTCTCCCCTGCCCTCCAGGGTCACTGTCCCCCTACCTCACTCTCACCCAAGCCCACCAGAGGATCCTGGGAAGACAGAGGGGTGTTGGTTTCGAGGGGTGTCCTGCTGTGGCCTCTGGCCCCTGGACATGGACCACCTGCAATGCCAGCTGGGCCAGCAGTGGGAGAAACCAGCTATAGGGAGCTCATCTGCTTACTGGGAGTTCCACCACACAACCTTGGTGGGTTCTTGGGGTCCCAAGCCATCCCTGCGCCTCGGCAGCTGCCAGGCACTGCTTTAGCCCCCAGGAGGCACAGCCTTGCCCACCATCCCCTGAATTGACTTCAGAGGGGTATATGTGTGGCGGTGGTGGGGAGTGCCATGGGGCAGGTCCCCACAGCTAGGTGCAGTGCTCAGGGCAGCCTGGCTAGGTGCAGATGCCCCTCCCTTCTCCTCAGAGCTCTCAGTTTTACTGGTTCTGGTGCTGGTACAGGTGGGACCTTGCCAGCCCTGCCAGGCTTGGAGGGGGTGTGTGGCTGCTGTGTCCTCTGCAGGGCCGGGGGATCAGCTCAGAGGCCTGTGCAGGGACAGGTGTGTCTCTGCTCTGGCTTGGACTGCCTCGCTTGTTTAGGAAATACGCTCCTTGTGCTGCTGTGTCGGGTCCCAGGGATGGTCTGCCTTCATCCGGACACCAGTGCTGGGCCAGGCCAGGCAGACTGTTGAGCTGTGCCAAGGCGAGCAGAAAGACACCAGCAGGAAAGGGTCTAGGGGTGCCACAGACTCAGAGCCACCACCAGGGCTGCCCGTTCTGACGAGGACAGCATGTGGGTGCTGTCATTGGTGTGGCCTGCACACCTGTGTGCCATGGCAAGGAGTTACCACCCTGAAACTTTGACCACCCTGAGCCCAGCCATTAGCCTTGGAGCTGGAATTCTGGCCCCAAATTCAAGGCCACTCAGAGCTCCCTTCCCTTCCAGGCCCCACAGCCCTCTCAGGGCTGCTTGCTGACCTTGACACTGATCTGAGCCTACCTAGGTAAAAAGCACTGCTGGGTGAATTCCAACCAGAACAGCTAGTGAGAGAGAGTGGGGCAGTGAGAGCTGTGAGCACGCACACGGACACACACATAAACACGCACACACACCTTCCGACGGTTCATGAACACACACACACGTGCCTACATGCGTCAGGCAGACATGGCACTAAGAGCTCTGACATTCATGTGAATGGAGGGTCTTCCGAAGTTTGTGGAAAATGCACATGTGTTTGTTTTCTGGTGGCAATGCCCGCTGCCTCAGAGCTGGGCACAGGGAGCCCCCAGTCTCAGCTATGTTCCTGGCACCCTTGGTCTCCCAGGGGGCTGCCCAGACGAAGGTGCCCAGACAGCTGTGACTTTGGCCTGGGACCAGCTTGCCCAGCCCAAAAAGATGTGAGAGTGGGGGTCAGGTGCCCTCAGAGGAGGCCCCGCCAAGTGCCACTGTTAGTGAGGCTGTGTGCAGCCCCCAGTGTGGGCCTCCCTGGAGCCAGCCCCGAAGCCACAGGCTGCCTCTTTAGCAGGGCCACCCAGGGCATCCTGGAGGTTTAGGTGGTTTCCAGGAGAGGAGACTGAGTGGGATTGTCCTGGGAGATCCAGGGTGTGTGAGCTTGATGTCCACAGAACTTTCCAGAACCTTTCCAGTTTCCACAGCTGCAGAGGGAAACTGCGCTGGCTCTGCTGTCATTGCCTGTGTCTTGGGGTGCAGTGGACTCTCACCCTAGGGAGGGGAGGATGAGGAGCAGGATCCCCTGCCCCCAAGGAATGGTTCTGCTGCGAGCCAGCCTCATCCCACCAGATGGGGGGCAGTGCAGGTCACCCACTGCCAAGCCTGCTCCAAGCAGGGGGCCAGGGCTGGGAGCCCCCCAGGGCTGCCTTCTTTGTGTTTCAGTTCCATTACCACATGCAGCTGTTCCCAGAAGCCCGGGCTCTGCAGCTGCCCTGGCCTCCCCTGCCTGCTACCTTGGCTGCGTTTATTCAGCCAGGAGCCAACCCTCCCTACACTGTCCCCAGGATGCCAGGAGCCTGTCCCCCAGCCTGGCCAGCCAGGAGTCCCCTGGCAGCCTGAGGAGGCATTTCCACGGCAGAAAGAACCTTGGCTCTGGTGCGAGGCACAGACCACCCAGAACACCTTGTGTTTTCTCTCCTCTGAGGCTACAGGCCGGGGGAAGGGCAGTCCTGGGGCCACTGCCCTCTCCAGGGCTGCTTCTGGGGAGAAGAGAGCAGAGGTTGTGGCCCCTTCAGCCCACGCTCTAATGCAAAGGGATGGGGTCTCATGCAGGCTGAAGGTGAAACGAGATAGTGGGTAGAAGCTGAAGGGTGTGGTCATCCGAGTGTTCTCCGCGACTACCTGGGGACCTGGGGTGAGTGCCCCCAGCCCCATCTGAGCTGCTCCCTTCAGAGGGGTGTCACAGCACAGCAGGCCCCTGCTCCGGCCTGGCACGTGCTGCAGCCTGGGGTTGGGGGGCCTCCCTGCTGAGCCTGAACTTCCAGGCTATACTGGGCTTACTCCTGGCAAGGACATCGACTTGGGACTCTGTCTCTTCTACATGGCACAGCTAGGGCAATGTCCCTGCCTTTGTTTTGGCCAAGATGGCATGCATTATGTTGCAGCTGAGTCCCATTCAGTTCCATGCCTCCTGGGAAACCCCTCTGGGGGGTACCTGAGGGGGATTTGCAGCGTGCCCTGAGCCCACCTCTCCATGCAGACCCTACAGCAGATGGCCCCTTGCTGTGACAGCACGGCCACGGGCACAGAGGAACATTTCATTCTGTGGCCAGGCCCCAGCTGGTCCCACATCAGGTGTGATGTGGTGGCCAGGCCCTACCCACACTGTCGCGTTCCACTCTTTGTCCCGAAACCCCACTCACCTGGCCTTCTTTTTTTCTTTCTGTCCATCAGGCAACACGGAACTTTCCACAGCGTGCGGGGGTCTCCTAGCAACAACCCTCAGGAATTCTGTTTGGCCCCGAGATTGATGCACGTGCCTGGGGAGCAGGAGCGAAGGTGAAAGCCAGGGCGGCCATGGGTCAGAAGGTTCCCGGAGGGATCAAGACTGTAGGCATGAGGGACCCGGTGTACCGGCCCCTGAAGCAGGAGCTCCAGGGCCTGGACTACTGCAAGCCCACGCGGCTGGACCTGCTGCTGGACATGCCCCCCGTGTCCTATGATGTCCAGCTGCGCCACTCGTGGAACGACAATGACCGCTCGCTCAATGTCTTCGTGAAGGAGGACGATAAACTCATCTTTCACCGGCATCCGGTGGCCCAGAGCACGGACGCAATCAGGGGCAAGGTCGGGTACACACGTGGGCTGCACGTGTGGCAGATCACGTGGGCCATGAGGCAGCGGGGCACGCATGCTGTGGTGGGCGTGGCCACAGCGGATGCGCCCCTGCACTCCGTGGGCTACACGACTCTCGTGGGGAATAACCACGAGTCCTGGGGCTGGGACTTGGGGCGCAACCGACTCTACCATGATGGCAAGAACCAGCCGAGCAAGACGTACCCTGCCTTTCTGGAGCCAGACGAGACGTTCATCGTCCCCGACTCCTTCCTGGTGGCCTTGGACATGGATGATGGGACCCTGAGTTTCATCGTGGATGGACAGTACATGGGAGTGGCTTTTCGGGGACTCAAGGGCAAAAAACTATATCCTGTTGTGAGTGCCGTCTGGGGCCACTGTGAGATCCGCATGCGCTACTTGAATGGACTTGATCGTAAGTATCCCCCATACGGTCCACACCAGTGCCTTCCTGTGCCCTGGCTGGGCCCAGGCCCAGAGCTGACACTGTCATTGGAATGGAAGAGTCTTGAGTTAGATGTCCCAGTACACCCATACCCTCAGAGGCAACTCTTGCCTGCATCCTGTTAGATGAGCAGTTCTGGCTGGTGTTTTTCTAGATTACCCGAGCAGTGCCTTGGGGATTGACTAATGAATGAACAATGTGGAGAGTAAATGAATGGACAGATTGATGGTTGGATGGATGATGGGTGACACGTGGATGGACAAATGTGTGGATGATGGATGGCTAGACAGATGGGCGGCTGAATGGAGAGATGGATGGAGAGATGAGTGGGTTAATGCATGGCTTATGGATGGACAAATGGATGGATGGATGTTGGATGACAGATGGATAGGTACATAAATTGATGTCAGATAAGTGGATGGGTAGAAGGATGTGTGAATGAATTGACAAATAATAGGGGGATGGATGACAGGTGAATAGATGGGCAAAGGGATGATGAATTGATAGATGGATATAGATGGATATATATCCATCCATCAATTCATATATATTTAATATATATATTCCATATATATATTCATATATATATACGGAAGAATGGATAATCATGGATGGTTGAGTGGATGGTTTTTGTCTCAGTCTGATTGGTCTCCAGGTTCGGTCTGCCCTTGAGCCACAGTCTGATCCTTGGTGACACTAGGCCCTTTCAGATGCACAGAAGCTGCTGACCTCTCACGGTCAGGTCTAGCAGCCTCCCTCCCGGGGCTGGAGCTTTCTGAGTCGGTGCCTCTGAGATGGTCCTGAGAGCAGCTCTTGAGCTGTAATGCCAGGAGGCTGTTAGGGAGGTACATGTGGATTAGAAATAGCTGAGTCAGCAGTGATTTCTCCCTTGCCAAAAGGAGTGACCTTTCTCAGACTGTGCTGTATGACTGGGAAGCCTGTGACAGTAGGAGGTCCTGGTGTTCCAGAACCATCTACACCTGTGTTAGGCCTTTCTGCTGGGAGCTTCTGGTCTGCTTTAGTCTCCTCTACCTTTAGCAAATCCCACTGTTGGAAGAGGGTAGACAAGAAGGCTCTGTGTACTCGTGGCCTGTTTTAGAGGAAGGTTTGACTTGGTATGCTGATTCCTAATTCCACTCTGCAGGTTCATGGACCAATGGGGGAGGTCTCTGATGGAGGGTCAGGAACAGTTATTGGGGTCCCCAACATACAACTTCTCCCCCTCCCTGGCTCTCCCCATTTCAGGATTTAGAGATTATTGGGTGAAAGGGGTAGCCAGGCCTGAGCAAACCCTTCAGCATTTTTCTTTGAGAGCCTTCCTCTCCATCCTCCATCTGACTTTTACAGCGGTGCCAACAACTGGATGTGCTGTCACCCATGTAGCCTGGCATCTAGGGTCCAAGGACTGCTGGCAAGGATGATCGGTACACACAGTAGGAAGTCATTATGGAATGGGATAAGGGAACCAGCAGGACGAGTTCTGTGAGCCCATCACTCCAGGAGACAGAGATGAGTGGCAGTTGGTCCAAAGTCAAATTTGCAGAGCAGGGATGGACCCAGGGTTGGGAGCTGAGGAGGACATCATGGCGGCAGCGGAGTTGACTCCATACAAGCAGTCAGTTGAAGGCACTGCCTAAGTCTGGTCCATCCCACACCCTCCAGAATAGCCAGCCATGCTCACCCAAGCTCTGGGAGCCAGCATGGCTACACCTGAGCATAGCCCATGCAGGCCCCAGTGTGACCAAGCTAGGACACAATGCAGAGGGCAGTACTGCCAGAACAGTCCCAGAGTCCCACATGTGGTCTGTGACAAATGACGCCCCCTTAGGGAGACGGGTGCGTCTGTAAGTTCTGGTTTGGAAGACTTTAGAAGCAGTGGGAAGATGGGCTGGGGAGCAGGTGTTAGAACAGGCAAGTGAAGTTGGGAATGAACCTGAAAAGGAACCTGTGCCATGAACACCCTGCCTTCCAGTGGCACAGGGATGCTGGGCACTATGGCTTCTCGTCTCCCCCAGTCCCGGTCAGACGTCAGGGGTTCTGCTGCACATGGCGAGTGGCCTTTGGAGGCGCAACAGAGGAAATGAATATGACCAGTCACTGGGATGCTATGCACAGTGTCCTGGGGTTGTCATCAGCCCTACAGGACAAAGGCTGTGTCAGCCTCTGCTTACCTTGACCTGCCCATACTCATATCTTGGTGCCTTCATGGAGGAGGTGCTTCTTGTCCTGCAAGGCTCTCCAGCTGTTGTGTAGACAGGGGAGGTCAGGGCAAGTGTTGGCACGGTGACAGTTGTCCCAGGTGAGAGGTCCTGGGGCTTGGGCCTGTGGGAGCCGTGCAGGTGGTGAGAGGTGCCCAGCAGAGGAATGAAAATGAGCAGAAGTGTCTAGATGAGTCCCAGCTTGAGCAGGTGGGAAGATGGGGCTGCTGCCCACCAGGGTCAGAGGTGGGACCAGGTGAGCAGCAGCTGGCAAGTTGAAGTTCGGGACAGTGGTGTGTGGGTGTATGAGTTGTGCCCTTGCTTGGGGTCATTCTGGGACTAGGGGCGGGTATGAGTCAAGGTTAGGAGGACTAAGGACAAGTGGCCAGGTGGCCAGAGGGGGCCCTGCAGAGTGGCCTGGGAAGCCAAGTGAAGAAGGGGTTTCAAGAAGGACAGGTCCAGTGCACTGAGAGCTGCTCTGGGAACAAGGAGTTTGCTAGTGACCTTGGCAGGAGCTGCCTCAGTGGGGCGAGGGCTGAGCCTGAAGGAGCCTCCCGGTGGGTGGGGCCTGGGACAGCCCTGTCCCTTGGGCCCCGATGAGCTGCAGGTGAAAGAGGCCTCAGAGCAGACATACTCCCCACACTGGCCTGCAGAGGGCCACACTCAATGACCAAGACCTTTTGGAAAGCCTTTTGGACTCTGGGGAGCTAAGCTGGTGGAATCCAGAGGAAACCCCTGGTCTGGATCCCTTTTCAGATAGAGAAATTGAGACCCTGATAGGGAGTGGCCTGCACTAGGGCAGGCTGTCGTGCAGGACAGAAGGGGTCACTCCAAGGCCCAGTAGCTTGTCCAGTGACAGGTGGAGGAGACCTGGGCCCCCACTGCTAGGCGTCTGTGATACCCTTGACCCTCAAGTTCAGAAGGTCATTGAATTCATTCTGCTGCCTCGAAGGAGTGGCCTCACTGCCCAGGAAAGGCATCCGCCAAGCTTTAAAATGTTAAAAACATTTGCCGTTCAGCTCCTCTCCGGGCCCAGCCGCCACTGTCCTTAGACCACGCACAGGACAGGAAGAGCTGTATGCCCTCTCAAAGTAGGGACTCAGTGAATCCAGTGTCAAGCATACAATCGATTATGTTTGTTAAAGATCTATTTTATGGAATTCACTCCATGGCATAGTTTGTTAAGCCTTTGCCTGCAGGACTAAAATGCCATGTAGGTGTCAGGTCAAGACCCAGCTGCTCCATTTCCGATCCAGGTCCCTTCTTCTGTCCCTGGGAAAGCAGCAGATGACTCACGTCCTTGAAGCCCTGCTTCCATGTGGGAAAACTGGAAGAAGCTCCTGGCTCCTGGCTTCGGAAAGGCCAGGCCCTGGCCATTAAAGCCACTTGGGGAGTAAACCAGCACATGGAAAATCTCTCTCTCTCCTTTCTCTGTAACTCAGCCTTTCCTTTAAAATAAAAATAAATCTTTGGTTTTTTTGTTTTGTTTTGTTTTAAGGTGTATTTTATTTGAAAGGCAGAGAAAGATCTTCCCAATGGTTGCAAGGGCTTGGCCGTCATCTGCTGCTTTCCCAGGTGCAGGAGCAGAGCAGAACCGGAAGTGGAGCATCCGGCTCTCGAATCATGCTCCTGTGCCTGCTGGCAGCCTCACAGGCCACAGTTTGACCCGCTGTCCCACCACGCAGGACTCCTGCCGGTTAACCCTTTTAAGGCCACTGGTGAACATGAGAAAACTTGAGTCCACTTTGTTGGTGTCGTGCAATGGCTTTCCCATTTTGTGGTCTGGCCTCATGGTTAAGCGCAGACCATGGATTAAGGCATAGGTCATTTCTTTCCACCCCAGAACCCTGAGGCTGGCCCCGAGCACTCCAGGCACACTGGCCTGCACCTGGTTAGGGAGAAGAGCCTTGGGAGACTTCCCTGGGGGAGGCTGGCAGGTGGGTCCTGCCACACCCCCAGAAAGCTGAGGAGGCCATGGAGGCCAGTCCTCGGCTGATTGCTGTAGTCCCCAGGGCTCCCACATGGCCTGTAACCTGCCATGGGTGCCTCTGGCCATCCCCTGCTAGATCTTCGCGGGCAGTACTGCTTGCTGGCAAGGCACCACCTGCCTTAGAGCCCTGCCCTAACCTGAGTACATCTTGCTCTGTGCCTTGGCATTCAGGAGCTCTTGGATCACAACATGTTGATTTCTGGAAGCCTGTGGGGGCATGTGCTGGGGAAGCTGGCACCCGTGGGCCCCAGACTGGTGCACTCTGCTGACGCTGCTCCTCTGGATGGGGCAGTGGCATGGCCCGGTAGGGGAGGAGCTCGGATGGGCTAGACTCAAATTCCAGCTCCTACTCCTCTAGCCTCATGATGCTGGGCACGGTGTTTGGACTGCATCTGTCAGTTTTCCTCATCTGTGAAATGGGTGTGACCACAGCAACATCTCTAGTAATTAAGTCACAACAGTAAATTACTAAGCACCCATGCTGTCCGGGACCCTCCAAAGGGCCTGACTCTGAGTTGGCTCTCAGTTCTGTTTCATTTCTTTTCTTTTTAAGATTTATTTGTTTTTATTAGAAAGGCAGATTTACATAGATATAAAAGAAAGAACTTCTGGGCCCGGCGCGATGGCACAGTGGTTAAGGTCCTTGCCTTGCACGCCCGGGATCCCATATGGACGCCGGTTCTAATCCCGGCGGCCCCACTTCCCTTCCAGCTCCCTGCTTATGGCCTGGGAAAGCAGTTGAGGACGGCCCAAAGCTTTGGGACCCTGCACCCGCGTGGGAGACCCAGAAGAGGCTCCTGGCTTCAGATCAGCATAGCATCAGCCGTTGCACTCACTTGGGGAGTGAATCATCGGACGGAAGATCTTCCTCTCTGTCTCTCCTCTCTGTATATCCGCCTTTCCAATAAAAAAATAAAAATAAATCTTCCAAAAATATTTATTTAAGAAAGAACTTCTATCTGCTGGTTCACTTGCTGAATGGCCACAGTGGCCAGAGCTGAGCCCATCTAAAGTTGATTCAAAACCAGGAGCTTCTTCCCAGTCTTCCGCATGGGTTCAGTTTCCAAGGCTTTGGCCCATGCTCTGCTGCTTTCCCAGACCACAAGCAAGGAGCTGGAAGGGAAGTGGAGCAGCTGGGATACGAAACAGTGTCCTTGCAGGATCCCAGCACTTACAAGGGGGGATTAGTCAACTGAACCATTGTACCAGGCCCAACTGTTGGTTTATACCTAGAGAACGGATTACTGGATCATCCCTTATCTGTTGCATGATTTGAACCCCTGATGATCTTGTTCCTGGCCTTGTGTCTGCTCCTGGTCCAGCCTGAGCTAGGCCCATCTGAATCTCCTCTCTCTCTCTGTCTCCCCAGCTGAGCCGCTGCCGCTCATGGATCTCTGCCGGCGCTCGGTGCGCCTGGCCCTGGGCAAGGAGCGCCTGGGTGCCATCCACACGCTACCGCTGCCAGCCTCCCTCAAGGCCTACCTCCTCTACCAGTGACGCCGCGCCCTGGGACTGCCACCTCCACAGCCACCTGGTGCCAACTCACTGAGCCGCCAGGGCTGCCAGGGCCGCTGTGCCTGCACTTGGAACTGCCAGTCGCAGCCCTGGTCAGATGTTCCTGCCCCTCTTCATCCTCCCTGGCTGTATCACTGGCCCTGGACCGATGGTGACGCAGGCTCCTCTTCCCCCACCCTCATCCCGACACTGGCTGGAGGCAGTGTCCCTGCATGTGAGAAAGAATCCGAGAATAAACACCTACCCAAGCCCTACATGGCGCTCCAGTCTGCTGTCGGGTGGGCCCCGGGGCTCCCCACACCCTTGGGAACAGGCTGGGGTTCCCAGGGTGGTGGGAGGTGATGCCCCAGCTTGGGGAACAGACGCCAGAACGCTCATGGTGCTCAAGAAGGGCCATGCTGTGCCGGGGATGCCCAAGCCATTCATAGAGGCACCTGGCACACTCAGGCAGAAGCCGGACCAGAGACCTTCCATGGCCAAATGAGCCCCAATCCCAGCTATCAGTGCCCTGTCCCCGTATTTATTTTTGCAGCAGTAACAGAGGTTAGTTATTTATTTATTTCACATGGACAGAAACCGATGCTTTGGTCGCCTCGTGCCAGCAATTTCTGTTGCTTTTCTCCCACCTGCCTCTTTCCTTAGGATATATGTGCCTCACCTGTCCTTCTCCAGGGCCACACCTATGGCACACGTGCACATGCATGCCTGGCCCCGAGGGTGTGTGTGAGAATTTGCCTTCAATCTGAGGGATGGGGGAGCCTGCGGCAGAGGGCTGGACACTCCCGGGGGGCTCTCAACCTCTGGAATCGGAAGAGCTCAGCACACAGTGGACGTTCTCTGGTCACAGGTGACGCTTGGGCTCTGCATTTGCGTCTCTGTAAATGAGATTTCACAAGTGCATCTCACATGCCCTGAGGATCCCAGGAGGGGGAGCCCCAGAAAGAGGAGGCGAGTTGAGTGGGTCCCCAGCCTGAGACACCAGAGGCAGGGAAAGACTTCAGGAGGAAGCCAGCAGAGCCTGCTCAGGAGGGGTGGCTTGGGGCAGCCTGGGGGAGTAGTGTTCTGTCCTGCCAGTTCCATCCCCAGCACCCCCTGGCCTGGCCACCACACTGTTCCTTCTGTCATCAAGTCTGCCTTTAACTCACTTCTACACAGGTACAATGGATAACTTTATTTGTTTAAATGTCTAATATATATACACATATATATTTGTAAGAGTTTTGTTTTCAACAGCTGCTGTAGGTTACTTAAAAAAGACTTTTCCAGTGAAGTATATATATTTTTAAAGCACACAGTTGGTGCCAAGATTGGGTGAGGGATGTAAATCCCCCCCCCCTTAGTGTCTTAAGGGATTTTTCCCTTTCAGGACAGGAATCCTGGCCTGTCGGACGTTGAGCCTGGCCAGCCTGGCCCCTGCCTCAGAGTGGCTCACTTTTCCACCACCTGTGCCCATCACAGCCTATGGACTTGACCCCACCATCCCCCGGGGCACCGGAGCCGGAGCCCTCAACCCCACCTTCTTTCCTATCAGCCCAGAGCCTTGGGGCTTGTACAGTTCTAGCTAATGACGGTTGGTAAGAGTCAGTAACCCAATAAAGGAACGTTTGTTCAAGTACAGCGGCACTGTTGAGTCTCTCCTTTGTGTGTTGGGGGAGGGGGCTGGGTGTCCCTGGTCCAGCCTCCAACCTTGGCTCAGCCCCGGTCTGTGCATCCTCACTGCCAAGTGCAAGGTGGTGCTTGGAGACCGTGCTGACTGGAGCTCTTCCGCCTGCCCTTGAGGTGAGAGTTCCCAGCAGAGAGCATGTGGAAGGCTGGCTTGGAGGAGCAACAAACGAAGTCTGTCAAAGCGATCCCCACGGTTTGTGACCACATGAGCAAGAGCTGCTTCCATCCCCAGGGGCATGAGGACCAGGGGCTGCTGGGACGAGTGCCTGGCCTGTGGGCCCCAGGTCCCTTCCTCCGGGAGTCTCCTGATGGGCTGCCTTAGATGCCCGACCGCAGCCTGACCTGGGTGGCCTTTGTTGAAGTCCATGAAAGGCATGGAACCAACATCCCTAGGGATCTGCATTCTCCCCCAGCTGACCACTGGGACAGCATCAGCCCTTTGGCCTGCAGGTTGCGTTGGTGGCGCAGCACAGGAACTTCTGAGTCAGACCTGGGTTCCAGCTCTGGCCTTATGGCCCTGCCCAGACTTCTGTGGCCATGGCTGTCCCTGGAGTGCTGCCTCGTGGGTGGGCAGCATGGCATGAGTGGACAAGGTCCCAGCAGGATGGCATGTCTGCCTGAGGACACCCCCTGCTTTGGGACTTTGGTCTCCGTCACTAACTTCCTAATAAACCCTGCCTTCCCAGGGCAGGTTTGGATGGATCAAGGTGGGAGTGGGGGTGGGAACGAACCCTTAGGGGTGGTCTAAAGTCATTCTTCAGTTGAAGTTCGTGTTTGGGTTGCTGTTGGAATGCTGGTGTCCCTGAGAGGGAGTTGCAGGGGAGGGGTGGGTCCGTCATGGTGGGCAGGGGAAGCAAAGGCGGAACAAGGGCCTTAGTGCCATGGAAGGTTCTAGGGGCATGAAGTTTTTGTCGAGAGCGGGTTTAAGAAAACCGGCTGTGCAGACTTGGCCCATGTGGTTGTAGTTAATCCCCCGCCTTGAAGCAGGTAGCCGCCCTCGGGGCTTGGCCGTAGATGAGGAGCATCCTCCTGTCTGAGCCCAGAGCTTTCGGCCCCGCTGCCCTTCCTCCTCCTCCTTCTCAGTGGCCACGGGATGAGGAATGTGGAACTCCACTGAACCATAAACTATGCTGGGAGAGCTGGGGAGGGGGCCGAAGACAGAGCAATTAGTTCATGCTCCAGTCCAGACACCCAAACATGGTTGGATTCCAGCTGCAAGGAATATTTGAAATAAATGAGCTGCCCGCGGCCAAGAGCTTGCTGTGTTTGCTCTTCGGGGCCATGGCAACCAGGCAGGAAGCCATGAGCTGCGGGCCGAGCTGCAGGATCGACACATGATGCCCTGGTCGAGCCTGCCCCGTGAAAGCTGCTCACGGTGCTCCTGGGGCTTCTGGGGACCTGGATGCCGACAGCAGGACATAGCCTGGCCATCCTGGACCCTTGGTCCTCAGCATTGTCTCCTGTGCTCTCTTTGTAACCTTTCTTCTGGGGCAGAGAACAGCAGCTGTTGTGACTGCCTGTCTGATAATGACTTTCCTGGGCAGAGGGAATGTTCTTGATGGGAAAGCCCAGGCTGGGGGCAGCTGGCTGGACAGAAGGTAAACATTGACCTCTGGCCTGGCTCTGCCCCATGGGCAGCCGTAGCTTCAGCCTCTTCTGGGTCTGCCAAATCCCGGGCAGGGCCGTGGGTGGGGCCTGGGAGCCTGTGTCTTTGGACACCCTGGGGTCCTGGGTTGCTCTGCTGCTCCCACTGGTCCACAATTCTGTAAGAGACGCTTGGAGACCACCAGGCGTTATCTGCTTTGTCCCAGCACATGCCGAAGCCCCAGCAATAGGGTCCTGGGCAATGTCAGCTCCCCCCACCAGCACAAGAGGGTTTATCTCAAGAAAGGACAGAGCAGGAGCCAGCACTGTGATATGCTGAGTAAAACCACTGCCTGCAGCACTGGCATCCTATGTGGGCACCAGTTCAAGTCCCAGCTGCTCCACTGCTGATCCAGCTCCCTGCTAATGTACCTGGGAAAGCAGTGGAGGATGGCTCAAGTGCTTGGGCTCCTGCACCCATGTGGGAGATCTCTAGAAAGCTCCTGGTTTTTTTGTTTTGTTTTGTTTTTTGATAGATCCGGTTCTAGTCATTGCCATCATTTGGGGAGTGAACTGACCTGTCAACGATGGCCCAGCAAGGCCCTCCCTCGGGAGCCAGTCTTGAGAGCAAGCGTGTCCCACCTCCTCCTGACCGCCCTGCTAGGGCCAGGCTCTCCCAGCTCCTATCTCCCCCTCTACAGCCCACTCCTCTTCCCACTCCGGCCTGGACCCCACCTCCAGAAAGATTTTTTTTTTCCAACACCTCCACCTTTCTGACAACGCCCATGGTACACAGGAGCACCTGGCGTTTTGGATGCCCACGGCGGACCAAATCCCAGCCATGTTGCGAAGGGGCTTACTGGGCTGGGGTAGCATGACTAGGAACCAGGGTCCAGCCGGCCCTTGCTTGCTGTGGCGATGATACCTTGAAGCTCCAGAGCCTTGCCATTCCCATCTGTGAAATGGGACCAACATTTAACCTGCCCAGGGGTGCTGAGGCCTGCATGCTTGGGGCCTGGCCAGGGCCAGGGCCTCCACACAGGCTGCCTCCCCTTTTCCTGCCCTTCTATTTGGGAACTAGGTGAAACTCACATGATCTAGTGAATACCCTTTAGTGACCTATAGGACAACCACAGCACGAGCAATGTCACCACTCCCTGGTCACCCGACAAGCTCCCCCAGCCACGAAGTACTTCCTCTCTAGGTCCCTCCACCCCAGCCCATGGCAGCCACCATCCTGCCTTCCTGCTCTGTGGACCCTCTGTCCTTCATGTCGGGCTTCTCTCACTTGGATGAGGTTTTTGAGGAGCTCCTCCGACACCCTCCCCCATGATGTCCCTGTGTCTTTGCCAGATGTGATCCCGTTTCATGGGGTGGTGGTGAGGATGGGCGAGTCAGAGCATGGGCAAGTGCAGGACGCAGTGTGGCCATTGTGCGGGTCTGGTCACAGCAGCTGCTGCGGTGCCCTGCTCCCAGAGAGCCCAGCTTATCTCTGCCGCTCTGTCAGCCAGCTCCATGTGGCCCTCTCTTAGCCCCTCTGCCTGCATCTTGCAGGGAAATGGAACTTAGCGATTTTGGACAGTTTTTTTCAGTTTCTCTGCCCCAACACCCACATGGCATGCATTGCCAGGGTTGTTGCCACACAGCTCAGGGGAAGTCTGGAGCACAAAGTCAAGGTGTGGGCAGGTGGGCAGGGCTGAACTGCCCTGTGGGGTCTTCCGAGGACCCCAGCTCTGAAGGGCTCCCGTCTCTGCTTCTGTTTTCACACACTTTGCCCTCTGTGTCGGCGTCTCTCTCCTATAGACATTTGTCCCTGGGTCAGGGCCACCCTGATCACTCAAGATAAGATCCTCTCTGGGTCCTTAGCTCGTGACGTCAGCTGAGACCCTCTCTTCTGACCTGGGTTTCAGGGTCAGGGCTCTGGAGCAGGCCACAAGCTCTAGGGTCAGGACACCTCGGCAGGTCACCATACGACTCTCCACACACACAGCAGAGTGCCTGGGGACAGCCGTGCCTAGGGTGATATGGGTATAAAGCAATCAGTTCCTGGGCCTGCAGCAGGTGCTGCCCTACGGGCAGGGAGGCCTGCCATCATGGCTAGCCCCGGGCTGTCTGCTGTGTGCCCTGGCCCCTCGTACCCTGCCCCACCTGGCCGGGGCCACTTTGAAATGGATCCGTGCTCTCCAAGGTGGATGCCAGGGCTGGCCCGAAAGTCGCAGGACTGATCTTAATCCAGAACAGGACCTGCCTCCTTGTGTCTGACCAGCTTCAGCAGGTGGCTCCTGGAAACTGACAGGGCCTAGCTCAGTGTTCCCCGGAAACAGAGGCTGAGCCCGAGGCACCATGACCCCTGGGCCCAGCTCCCGAAGCGTCTCAGCGCGGTGCGCCTGCATCTTGGACCTAGGGATAAGGCTTGCATCCATGAGGCTTCTCCCGCTGGCCCGGAGGCTGGGTGCTCTGAATTGATCGTACAAGGAAATGGAATGTGAGCTCCGGGCTATTTAAAGCACAGGGCGGCCAGAGGCGCAGCTGGAGCCAAGCCAAGCAGGGGTGCCTGGGTCGGCCCCAGGCTCCTCCGTGCACATGGTTTGATTTGTCGGGGAGCCGCAAGCAACTCCCGCTTCAGACAGAGAACTATTTGAAGCTGCTGCCAGCTGTTGTGTCTGAGCTGCATTTTTACAACTCGCTTACTGGTTGGCAGCCTGCCTCCTGCCGGAGTTCAGCATGCCCCAGCGGGTTCAGCACCCAGGCTGGGCTCCCTCCCGCTGGGCTCCAGTCTGCCAGCCTCCAAGAGGGCCTCAGCCTCCCTGGGGTGGCAGCATGGTCCTGACTTCTAGACATCTCTCCAACACCCAGCAAAGTGCTGCTAGGCCCTTTGGGAGCAGGTCCATCCTGCCAGGGCAATCCCCAAGCACCCAGTGACCCGGGGCGCGTCTCACACACACACCGCAGGGCCTCCTTCTTTCCCTTCCTGCTCTTTCCTCCTGGTCCCTCTGGCTCATTCCACTTTGGCCACCTGATTCCAGCCTCTTTAGATGGACCATGTGAGACCACAAAGGACCAGGGCTGAGAACACAGCTCAGCCAGGGGCTTCTGGAAGGTTCTGAGCCCTCTGGAAATCCCAGCAAATCCGGGAAGTCCCAGGGAGGCGCCAGCGACACTAATCTGCCACTCGAGGCCTCTGTGTCAGGTCAGGTCAGCCACGGCAGCGTGGCCAGACTTTCCCCAGCACCGGACTGTTGGGGTTCACCGCAGCTGTGGTGTTTCTCAGCCCCTCCCGCACCCGGGGGCCAATGATTCGACGCTGGTTTCCCCAAGCCACGCAGAAGGGGCTTCTCAGAATCTTGGCCTCTCTGGGAAGGGGCGGGTCTTGGGTGGAGATGGCGTGTTACATCCCACTAGGACCCGCGTGGCAGCCAAAGTGGACCGAGTGCCCCACCCCCTCCGGAGTGCGCCAGACGTGCTTGTCCACTGGGAAGAAAAATTCCCCCTGGTTACACCAGCCTGAACTGTGCCCTGTGTCAGGGCTGCAGGG